TTATGTAGTAGAAGTGCAGAATGCTAATTTTTTTTGTGTATGTAGGTACGTGTGTGTCAAATACATGTTAGTAATATTGTGTGTAATATTTTTTATTGATTTATATATAATTAAAAAAAATTGGTTGTAGGTTGTGATTATGTTGACAAAAGGTAAGACACATTAGTAGAATGGCTTGAATGGCAACGCATGAGTGGTATCACGGGAGTCATATGATAACGTGATGTCCTTAGTGCTGTTTATGTATATAGACGGTTACCGTTTACTGTCAGGTGGGCTGATATGCTATAGCTTAATTGCTATTACAATTATGGAACCCAGTTCATAGCGTAAAGAAAAGTTAAAGATACCTAGATATCATTGAACGTCCTTAGTTTTGAAAACAAGGCGTCAATTTAAAGAATGAATATAATTAACACTGAATAATAATACAGTTAACACGGGTGATCAATGTCTGAAATACAACCTAAAACTTTAAACAGGACGGAAACAATAACGGTAACATGCGACACGGGATTCGAACCCCAGCCGGGTGACGTCAGTGTTGGGGTGGCGCCACACGGCTGCAGCTCCATCCACTTACATCTGCCAATATTTGCCCAGCACCCCACCCCGCCCCGTACGCACCCGTTCATATTTCAAACGTGGGGAGGCACTAAAGACTACAAAGTTACGTGGTATTATGCTGTTCGTACCATTCTGTAATGATACACTACAGATATTTATTTTAGCAGAAGAAGAAGAAGTCAACTTCTTACAAGGTGGTCTGGCTCCTCTCGTCTGTAACTCTGACTTCTCTATTTCTGAGCCAAACTGCTCACTTTGCAAGCTCTATTAAAGCATTGTTTAAGCAGTGAAGAATATTTGTAAATACAGGCTACGAACACCTTAGAAATGGCAACGCAAGGGAGGTGTCGAAATTTATATTGTTAATGTCCATAAAGCATTTCATATTTATAATCCAGGATTACCACTTTCAGGGCAAAAACCTTTCCTTTCCCGTTAAATTAAAAGAAAAATATTATTATACTTAAATATCAATCAAGATTGGAGTGTACAAGAGTGCCAGAGGAACTAAACGAATATTTTTTGGCAAATAAAGGTATTTACCTCTCTCGACGTTTCGACTAGGTTGCACTAGCCGTGGTCACAAGATGACTGGAGTAACCGTCGAGAGAGGTAAATACCTTTATTTGCCATAAAATTATTCGTGTTAAGACCCAGTTAATAATTTAAATAAGTATCCATAACGAAAATTGTAATTTTTTTTGTTGAGTTCGGAAAATAGCTTCATATAATAATAATAAAAACAATAGAAGAGAATGTTTGATACCTAATGCTACTAAAAGTTCAAATTACTTCAGACAGTATATTGTAGATAACTGCCTATTTTCTTTAAAGTAATTCATAATATTATTCATGAATATTATGTTGATTTATACACCTATTTATCTGAACTAACATTAATACAATAGTCATAGCGTAGATTAATTTAATTGAATACATATACCTATTGAATACACATACCGCATCTTAAAACCGCATTTGAAGTTACAGCACTGTGTAAGTGGCAGCCTCGTCAAACTGGTAAATGTGCGAATGCCCTCGCGTTCAGTTAAATCGATGCGTTGCGTTTTATTCCGTGATTTTATAATCCCCCGCTATCAAAACTTATTCGGAGGGAGACAGAACAGTATTTTCACACTTTGCGATCTAAATAGTAACCTGTGTGATAATATATAAAGGCCTAATACATTATCTACTTCAAATTAGATATATACCACGGCTTTGGCCGCATTAACAGTGTACTAACTGCAAATCATAATCCATTCTTCTAACTATTCAATTAACTTAACGCTTTTTAGCGGAATTGAATAACAAACTAAAAGTTAGTTGAGGTTTTTAGGGTAGGTAATATGTGGAGCTACTAAAACGATTTCGAAAATTCTTTTACTAATTTCTATTAGTATAATAATTTTCTATCTAAACTATATTTGTGAGTGTCAGTACATAACATCGCGCTCCGACCAATTGGTGAAATAATTTATTTACACGAACTATTTTAGTTATACATGACAGATTTTTATAATATACATTATTTTTAAAGCTACTGTTCTATTGACAGCTTCGCTTGAGTAGAATAGTTGAATTACTACAGAGATTTCATTTTTTTTATCATCCCTGATAACATGAAGAAAATACTTCCTCATATTATCAGGTATGGTAAAAAAAATTAAGGGGCAAAGAGTTACATAGAAGTGAGAGATCATCAATATTGTTGAAAATAGTCAAAGAAAAGTGTTGATATGTCACGATGAACTTATAATAATATTATCGAATGAAAAATAGAATGAAAGACCAAGACACGGTTATATCGAGCAGACCAAGGAAAAAGTTGAAGGCGTGTCGTACCAAAAATTAAAGAGATTGAAAAAACGTGAGAAATGTCAAGAGCTCCACGATAAGAGCGCTGCATTTAAATTATGAATAATATAAAATGCACTGTGTACAGGTATATGTATAATATACTAAATAAATTTTATATAGTATGTTGTGCATGAACTACCAATGTATTAGACACATCAATAGGCTCTTCTAGGTTCGACGTAGACCTCCAAGTAAGTATAACACGATGGAATACTTTTTGTTTGATTTCTGATAACACAGAATATTTCCTAGTTGTTTATTAGGAAACAAATGACATTCTAATAAGAAATACATATATAAAGTGTAATATTTTTTTTACAGTTATACTGCATTGACAGAACTCTAAAGCCCATCGCAACCTGTAGTTGTGAAGTGTCCACAATTCCAATGTCATGCACTTATAGACGTTTCGCATCGTTGCGCGCCATTCAGCAGAATTATGTGGAGTAGGGTTGTCACTTGAAAAACATCTATTTTAATTTGACACTTTATTTTACGTATAATATATAATAATAACTGTCAGTTAACATTATATAATACAATTGTTTTTATCTAATTGCAATAGTAAAAAAGATGACGACTCACTTGGTGGTAAGTAGGAAACGTAGCCTATAGATATACATACAGTATTACGAACATCAAGTTATCGTGGGACGATTGTGACATACCATTCATGCATTGTCATTCCGCAGTACGAAGAGCCTCTTATCCTGTAATTTCATTACCTAATTTTTTGTTTAACCGAAATACGATTTACCAAACTATTTGGCGGCTGAAATAGATTTAACCCTAAATACGTGTTAAAATTTGAATATAGTTTCTCTAAATGCCACAATACTGTACCTAAATACTGTATATTTCCGTTAAATATTATATAACCATGAAAGTTATTATATCCGATTTATATGATTTTCGGTTAACTCAGTTCTCCACATAGTAGCGTTAAAATGAAGTAGGCAAGTATTACCCCGTCAGGTTCGACCTGATAGTGTTATATCCACGCGGCACGCCCTCACCCCCATCCCCCTGGTAACTATCATGGTTAATTGCACATGAGTTCGCCCGATAGGTGACCTGATTTCATCGTCATGCTTTCATCTTTTACTGATGCATTCCATTATCTATACTAATTATAAAGCGTTCATTGTTTGTTTGCATCGATTCGATCGATTGGTTCCAAACTACTGGACTGATTTGAATTTTTTTTAGTATCCTACATTAACAAACATTAAGAAAATATATCTATAATAATAATACCTAAACTTTCGTTAGGATGGGTTAACTGGCTTGCCTTTATACTCAGTCTATCATATCGTAGGCTCGGTAGCGTATTCCTGCCCTTAGCGTTAATGGTATCATCATTCCATTGTCATCCATTAAAAAAATCACAAAACCGTCTAGATTTATAGCAGTAAACAAATATTTTTTGCTGTAATTATCATTATTAACTTAGTTACACTTCAAACAGGAGACAACCCTTGCATGTAAGGTTGAAGGCGTGAAGTGCACTCTTGGACCACCCAGGTCGACAAATATACCTTAACAGCGCCGAATTGAGGTGAAACGCAAAAAACAAGCGAAAAAATGACGAACGCAAAGAACGGGCTGTAGGAAAAATATTATGATTTGTGAATGGCATTAAGGCTAAACTTGGAATGCATAAAAGGATGAAAAACACTAATAATTTAAGGTTGGGACAAATGTATTAGGGACGACCTACTTAGCCAATGTTAGCTCGATGCGTTGGTGGAAATGGGACACTCGATTTTCTGTTGAATATACTTTAAGGGCAAATGTTTTATTTATAGACCAAGAATAAATCATGTTTTTCGTGTGTATGTTATTATTGCAATGTAGAATTTAAAATGTCTTTTAATTTTAAATATGACAATAAATTCTTCATCAATCATATTATGATAGCTGCGAAACGCTGTTTAGGGCTCTATTGCAATTATTTGACGGCAGTTTATAAATTATAATCTAAATATGTATAAAAAACTGCAGTTAGTTCAAGGCGGACTAAGCCTGATAAAATGAAGTTGTATATATTAATTAATAAAAAATCTAATTATTGGGCCCTATGTGTCTAGGTCGCCTAGACCTTAATCCGCCCCCGAGTAAGTTATATAAATGCATTTTTTTTTGGGATCACTAAAGTAAACACTATTAATTGCAAACAGAATGATCAACAACCGTTCCATTTTAGTGGAGATGTCAGTCGCGCTATACATATATATATATATATATATATTATACACATGTATTCGATAACTTTTTCATGCACAGAATAAAAAAAAAAGCTAATAAATTCTGGCAATTGATAAATATAAAATTTTTCTAGATAAAAGCACCATCTGTCGACACACTGTTGAACTAACAGTTCGACAAAAAGCACACAAATGCAGAACGACATCTTTTGCCACTATATGTAACTACGAATTTGTATTAATACATTATAAGAGATGTCGCTGTTCCTTTTACTACGGTCTAAGAATGTCTATGTTTTTCTAACAGATCTGACCAAAAATCCTTCTTCTCAGCTATTTGTAAGTATTCCAAAAACAGGTACATACCTTGACCTCTTCAAGAGATTTCTCATGAAATTTTGCTTCAGCTGACGCCATTCCATTCTGTAAATAAAACGTAACGATAATGATTTTGATATCAGCGAACCGTTCTCCAATTTATAGTCGATTTTACTAAATGAAAATAAAATACACATCATTCAAAATGTATTTTATTACAACCATTACTATTAATGTATATAGGTGACTACATTAATAATAATAATAATAATAAACAAATTTAAAGGATTTTTATATTCAAATTCATTTGATAAAATTGTCGTAGTTTATCCCAGACAAACAGTGAAGCGAGATTTTTGTACATACTGGGCATAGTTAGTATTGCAATGTGTATTATTTTACAAAAAAAAAAACAAAACAATATTGCAGTTTTATGTTCGACGTTCTATTTTTAAAATATTTCTTTTTTATGAAATATCTAATAGCAATTTATGATCGTAAAGAATATATACTAAGGTAAAGACAATGTTGATTACATGCCCGAAAAAATAAAATTTTGGTCATCTCCATACTAAGTAACTGCGCAATTTGCATGTAGGTTTTGTAAATTATTTTCACTTTCCACATGTTATTGTATATTAAAGAATAATAATAATAACTCAGGACAATTCACACAGCACCATCTTGTCCTCAGAAAAGCAGACCTTGTGTGATGGATACTAAAAAACGGATAGAAACAAATATATTATTCTTTTATAAATATATTTTTTTAAACTACATTTTAGTGCGTTTGACCATTATCTCACTTGATGTTGAGTGATGATGTATATATATATATATATATAAGCTGCCAGAGCAAAACAAATAACCATACTTAATAATACAAGTGTTAGTATCGTGCGAGGAATCGAACCGGAGACTATACTACTGCGGTGCTAAACCGTTAGACCACTAAGGCCTTGAATAAAAATAAATGAATAACTAGAAAATATGGTTTGAAGATAAGTTAGATAGATTATATAAAATATTATATTCCGCATTAGGCCCGTACCGATCCGCGTGGTAGATACTGAAGCCATATCTCTAACGGGCTGTACTACGTATTACAATATTGATGTCAGATCGTACACTTATCACTAATCCAATGACGGCTATTGTTATCAGATTACAATTGTTTGATGCACTTTTATCTCAAATTACATAGTACTAGCTGTGGCCGCGGCTTCGCCCGCTTGATAATTTTAGCCTGTGTTATTCAGGTAGCTATATTACTGTAAAATTTCAAGAAAATCCGTTCTGTATTTTTGCGTGAAAGAGTAACAAACATCCGTCCATACTAATAAAGTTTCCCATTTATAATATTAATAATAAGATAGACTAGCGACCGGGCATAAGATATTTTCCTACTGTAAAATCTCTATTTCAAATTCATAACAAGTTCGAACATAATTTTTTATAGGAGACAATGGCATGGTGCATCTTTCTGTGCTAACAGTACACACTAGCGAGGCACCAACCGAGTATGATAGTACGAATATAAGGTCAATCAGTTACACCATGATGGGGAACGCAACAGGAATTTACTACGATGATTTCCAAAGGGAACTAAGTGTATGCCCGACCTAATATGGTCCGTTATTAGCAGTGGGGTCACTTGTTCCCATTACAACCAATTCCCTTCGCCACACTTCTTCCTGTACATTATAAATGAAATTATCGTCATTAGGTCACGAAAAAATAACTTTAAACATATTTTACGTATAAACAAAACAAACACTGGTCAGATTTTGATCAAATTCATAAAGGACTACAATAACAGTACAGAAATTTCAAATTAAAAATCATCAATATCGGTCCACGCATAAAAGTTAAGTTCTAAGTCAACAAATATAATAAAGTAAAAAAGGAGGTGATAAGAATCACCTTTTTGGAAGTAGGTAGAAAAATGTGTATTGGATTCAAATCGATATTGAGATTGGACTCGATAGTAGAGCAGCTGTTCAGGTAAAAGTGCAATATCATAATCATTGTTCGATGTACTTTCTATTTCTAACTTTCCCATGACAATATCGGTGGAAAGGTGACTGAACTAATGAGCGCGTAACAACAGACAACTCATTATGACCAGTTCAAGTTAGGGATGTGCCAATACAACTCAATACTCGATACTTTTGTTTCGATACAAAGTTTTTTTTATACTACGTAGATGGCAAACAAGCATATGACCCATATTATGGTAGACGGTAGCCTATAAGCGCCTGAAACACCAGCGGTGTTACGTGCGCGTTGCAGACCCTTAAGAAACCTTAACATACCTCTTGAAAAACCTCATGCTGAAGAAAAATTTAGCAGTAATCTATGTTGCGATACTTATTAGGTATCGCAACGGATTTACTTGTACTTACAGTACTTACAGAATATTTCCGATATATTGGTATTTATAAGTAAAGAGACACATTATGACATCTGATGTCGTCGCCATTAGATAGGGCTCGAAATGATGATCTAAAAAGGTAATTCAATTATGTACATGAAACTAGAATTCTTATAGTCCCATAAAATTAAAATATATGGCTATCAATATTATGAATTATCGATACTTAAGGAGTATGACTAATGACTATTATCGATAAGTTATTTGAATATTATTTAAATATATAAGTATCGATATCTGGTGGATATCGATACTTAGTAGGTATCGGAACATCCCTAGTTGAAGTGGAGCCAAATTATTTCTAAATGCCATTGTCCAGACGTCCATGCAGATTATTACAGACACGCTGGAGACGCGCCCATTATTTTAAAAGCACGCAATTTTATTTTTTAACCGACTTCAAATTAGTACGAATTATAAACATACTAGCTGTTACCTGTGAATTCGTATGCTTATTAGATATAAAAGATCACGTGAAATTTTATTAAGATTTTCAGTTAGTTCAGCCGTTTAGTTGAGAAAACATTACAAGCAAACATATACTTTCTCATTTATAATATTAGGATAGATATTATAAGTATATTTAGCTTGCCCCTGCTTTGTACAGGATAAAACATTTTTCAGTGCAGTAAAAATACATAAAGTTGCGTCTCTATCAATGAAAATTGCATTCAATTCAATAGACAGAAATTGATTTGGGAAATTTCACTTTATTTATACAAAATAAAACTTTTAGTTTCATCAATCAATGAAACAGGAAAGAAGGCACCGGAATTCCGTAATAAAACAATGTTTGTTAACGATTGTTAAATCTGGTTTTTTGTGGTACCAAATTAAATATTTCTGTGGTAATTTTCTGTTATTGGTACATTTTTAAATGTATATACTTATCAGTCGTCTAGTCTGCTTAGCTTAGAACTAGATGGCGTCGTCTGAATTGTCCTGGACTATATTATTGTTAAACCTTGTTTTTTTTTTAATGTTTTCGGTTATTGTCAGGTGCTAAGACCTGTAGCACTGTGACCTGCATAGATCTATCGAGCTCGCCTTGTTGACATTGTGTACTGTTCACGATGACTGTACTTTTATTCATACCTCTGTCCTCTCGAGTACCATAGCTCGTACCCTGGAGTACAGAGCCTCTTCTCGGATGCGCGCTGCATCACGAATCTCACGCACCAAATCCGTGAGGAAACCAGGGGAGTACTGTGAGCTTAGAAGACCTGAAACATCATATAAAATTATTTTTACTAGTTTTTCTCCGTGATTTCATCAGTGTGACTGAGATATTATTGATTGTCCTGGGTCAAGATAAGAGTTTTCTTAAATAGTAAATATATTAGAGTTAAAATAAAAAATCGTCTGCGTGAGTACCTCAATTTCACCTATTTTACTCGCCAAGCAACTTGCTTTATAAACTCTGTTTTGCTTATAGGATACAGATTAGACAGTGAAATTACAGGGTAAGAGGCATGACATCATAGTACTTTGGAAGAGCAACGCATGAATGAGTGGTATCACGGATGTCGAATCATAACTAGAAATCCGTACAGTGATGTCCATGTATATAGGCTATGTTTACCGGTTACCATCAGGTAAACCGATACCTCATATGCCATTACAAGTACAGAAAAAAAATGCAAAATTTCATCAGGTGTCAAGATGCAACAAACAAAACAAACTTCGAATCTACACTTAAATTGCTATTTAAAACTTTTGGGTATACTCTCATTTAATTAATTAAATTAAAATAAATATTTGTTATATAAAAATATAATAAAAATAATCATCAATTATTTAATCATTCAATATCATCATCAAATATTTATAATATCGCGACTATCTATCATCTATCATCAATGGCTTTGTTCCGCTTCCTTATGCCCCATTTTCCGGTTTCATATTCTCACGTTGTTTGAGACAATTGAAGCTATGTTATAATGTAACTGTATAGGATAATAAATGTAACAGTACAAGTAGAGGGGAAATAGGACTGTTAGCAATGTGAATTAATGAACCCATTGCTAGCAATTTGATACAAGTCTACCTGATCTGCACCTGGTTCCCCCTGGAAATCGCGTTTGCGAAATACTTGTTTATTTTTAATAAAAAAACTTTGTTACTCTAATAAATGTTAGTTTTCAAATCGTTTCAACAAGCGGTTAACACCCATGCCTTTATTCGTTACAATGGCGGTATCGTCGCCAATTTTGCATCATTTTGTTGATTCTTTGTTAATTGATAGAATACTTTTACGCAACTATATTGTCACGAAGGCAACAACTTTTTTTTTAATTCAAAGAGGTTACTTTCATATTCATTTGGGAAAATTGAAATCCGGTTTTATTAATAAAACCGATATTCATAACAAAATCGACATTCTTTATTATGATTGGACAGTCTTATTCATGCATTAGCATACAAAGATATTGGCGATATTTTATATTTATAAAATAACAGCCATCCGGAAATGGACAATCTCTTCATTTACGGCTTTATGAGCTATAGAAAAAAATACACTGTTTTATGGTCAGCAAAATACTTAATAATAACTGTATTTCGAAAGCGATGACATACTCAAATTTTTTTTTTTAATTATATATTACTTATTCGTTTAAAAAATCACGGAAAATTACAGGTTTGAGAAATGTAAAAATAAATACATGAACATGAACATGAACAGATCTTAATAAAATTTGATATTAAGATATATTGCATCAGGAAGACGAATGTATATTTTCTCTAAGTCTAATGTAAGAAGGTGAAGAGAATGAATATTCATTATACATTTGTATAAATCGGACATTGCGCCTCGAATAAGCAAATGAACGTCATTATTGCACATATTGCAGGAAGCATAAACTCAATGTTGGATACAAATAATTAGGTAAGTACGTAATACTTTAAACTCAATATCCGGCAATGCTCACTATATTGTATTGTTCACAGTTTACAAGTAAAACATGTCAATTATTTGTGATATTATATTAACAACAAAAAATTGTTACAAACCACTTACACACTTTAGTTTCGGAAGTATGTACTGTGACAAGCTGTGACAATACTTAAGCTTTCTTAATACTTACTTATCAAGGGTGTATACTGTGACAAATAAATAACTTTACGCATATGTATTGACGGCTTCAGTGGTCTAGCGATTTAGCACACCGTTTTATTTCCGATGATCGCGGGTTCGATTCCTTGCACGGTGCGAACATTTGTTTTCAACAGTAGGATTGTTTGTATGTAGGAACGGTTTGAGTGTTTTCTATGTTGTTTTATAGTGTTTTCTATGTATATTATGTATGTATTTACAAAAAAAATCTAAGTATTTATATCAGTTGTCTAGTACCCACAACACAAGCTCTGCTTACCGTGGGACTAGAAGGCGCTGTGTTAATTGTCTAGGGTTATTTATTTATATATATAGACTTCAAATTACTGAAATTAGAATCATCGGAGGCTTTAAAAAAATCTTTATAGATAATGTAGGTGCCCGGGAAAACAACAAAATTCGCATGGAATGCGAATATAGGTACCTAATGAATACCGCAGAAGTTAGCTGGTCGTGTAGATAAATAAGCTATAAGTTTATGCAAGGTTATCACACGGGTCACGTAACGCACGCGATTTCTTTGCAGTAATGGAGAATCATTAAGTACAGTCGGCTTCATAAAAGTGACAGCTCGTCAAAACTGGCAATATTGACAGCATAGTTTCTCATATTATTTAATCCTAATAATGATAATTTAAACTGAGGTTCATTGTGTACAAATGTTTATAGAATGTTGGACGGAATTGGCTTTAGTGTCACAAGTTTACCTATTTCGGAAGGCAGGGCTAAATGTATTATACTGTGCGTTATATATGTGTGTGAATAAAATATTATTATTTTTAGTATTATATTTTATTATTAATTACACAAAGTTAAACATCCATATCCCTCCTCATAACAAATTCATATTCATGCAAAATTTCATTACGGTCCGTGCACTTGTAAAACCGTGAAGAGGTAACAAACACATTTACCTACGCTTTTATAATATTCGTATAAGTTATCAATACTAGCTGTATTCTATGACTTTGACCAAGTGGAATAATAAGTTATGTTATCCGTTAATAAAAGCTATTTACAGAAATATTTTTTTTAAATCATGTCACTTTTTTGTGACTGTCTACAACATTAGTTTAGAAAAAAAAATTCAAAATCTGTACGGCTCTACTTTATTAAAAAAATAGAAATCTCTGCAATATACAATATTTTAACACGTATATGGGACATATATATGATGTACACCGGGGCTGGTCGCTAATTTGTAATAAACAAAAAAAAAAACAAAATTATGTTATAGGAATGTATGAAGCATTAATATGTTGGATGTCCTTAAAATAGACAAGGGCGTATGTTGAATTCCTTAAATATCTCTAGTGTGTGTGACTGTTATAATGTGACTAAAAAGGGAGTGGTGTCATTATCTAAAAAAAACATACGAGTCATATTGCATGCAAGCAAAATTTTACCTTTCCACAGCAAGATAGAGTTCAAAATTATATTTACCATTATCTGTGAGTGGTGCGTGGCTCGGGCTGGCACCAATTTTCGAAGACGAACCCTTCTGCAGTATGACATTATGTTGTCTAATGTTTTCCAATTCAGCTGGAAGTAAAATTTACAAATCAACAAAGGCATTTTAAGATTACTTAAGGGCATTTGCAACTCGTATTTGAAAGTCATGGTGTTTCAGGTGTCTGTACACTACAGTAACCGTTAATAATCAGATGGGCAGTATGCGCAACCTAATTCTAAATTTGAAACAATACCTGAGTAAAATCGAAATAAAGTTATTATTGGTTCAAAATGGGAGTTCAATTGTTCGAATTCAAAAAGGATATAATCGATAGATTATGTCCTTATATATGTATAATAATGTTATATAATAGAATTTGTAAATTAATATATAAACATGCCAAAACACAACAAAGTTAAATATTAAAAGCGCCTTACATTTTGGTCGATAAGAGATTAGTATTAGAATCCAATTACAACACATATATTATAACTAATATTAAGAAAGTGAGTTTGCTTGTTTACGCTATCACACCTTGATGATAACTACGTCATGAAATTGGCATAATAATATTTTGAAGGAGAAGGGCATTATCTACTTTTTATATCGGTCAATGTCAATTATCCAGACGATGTAGTGGCTCGTTTGAAATAACATGTAAGTAATTGTATAACATTAAAACCACAATACAAAAAGAGAAGCGTTTAAACCTAAGCATTTAGCGTTGCTCTAGTTTCAGTATTTATGTATGTACATTGCACACGATTATGAAATACTAGTTGATGCCCGCAGTTTTACTTACATGCAAATATGTTTTGTATCAATAAAATAAATAAAAGTTTTTTTTACGGCTGCCTTCGTTATAAAATAAACGTAGGGTCCCAATTTCCGGATTTTAGATTTAGTGTGTTTGATAGTCAAATCAAACGGTTTTATGAGTATAAAACTATATAATATATGATAATACATGCGTTATAGTATACAACAAGCTGAGAAATTGATAACAAGCCAAGAAATTCAAAGATTTGTAATGCATGCTTGCGTAGCCGGGGCGGGTCGCTAGTAATATAACAAAATCGAATCCGACTCGAAGGACCAAACAAACCCCAAAATAACCCCAACAGAAGCAGACTTTAGATAATTAATGATATCTTACACAATTTAATTAACTGCTATTACGAAAATTCCTACAATCTGAAATAACTATTAATTTGAATTCCTATACATGTTTAAGTATTAGTGGGATATTTTATAATGCTCGCACCATGGGCATAAAGGATGTCAGTATTGACACTAAATAAACGCAAATATTCTTGAAATGTCGTCAACGCTCAGTTAACCTACATAGTCGTAATTTTGTACAAGTCTGTACTTGCCTTGCAATAATTTATAGATTCAAGTTTGAAAAATGCAATAAGTAAAAATAGGGTATTTTTACTTATTGCATTTTTCAAACTAATGTGGTAAAACTTTGCATGTTTGTACACTTAAACAGTGACCCGAAATAGTATGTTATTATGTCAAAGCTTTGCGAGAGTTATTTATCTGTACATGTATGATGTAAACGTATGGTCCGATACTTGTATCTATACTAATATAATAAAGCCGAATAGTTTGGTTCAAAGCGCTAATTTACTATTATATTTGAAATTGAAGATTATTTTAGTGTTCGTTAGTACATTTATCGACGAATGTTATTCAATATATAAATATATAACATTAGTCATACGAGATTTTTATAGATATTGTTTCCAAAAATGTATATTTTAGTACCTACATCTAATAATGTAAAAGCTCTGCTTAACTTGTGATTAGATAGCGAATAATGACGAGCTAAATGGATTCACTACTATGCCATCTGTGATATTGTTTCTGTATTCAATGCCATATTGTTATATCCACAATGACATATACCATAAAAGTATCCAACTGTATCACAAAAATACATTATGTTAAGCAGGTAGATACATTCACAAAGCATTTTGCTGGTAGAAACATTTGACGAGTACCCTTGAATAACTTGCGTAGGTGACCCCATGTAGGTGTACGTTTCTAAAAACTAACAGCAATGTGTAGGTTGTAACTTCAAAAACTAAATGCATTTGTTTACAACGATTAGTTTCATCTTGAGCCAACTCCACTTATATTAGTAGCTATCCAAAAATTACGTCACTTCAATTTCAGTTACTTGTAACACAGCTGTTAACATTTTATAACTTAAAATGTTTGAAATTCGTCTTTTGACACTAAAATCTAAATATGACGATACAAAATCTGCCACCCCTGGGAGAGTTTCTGGCTATCATTTTTTTTTCTATATACTAAGTTTGTGACTTAATATACTCATATGTGATTCATTTATCTATCTAAAGTAATAACCTGAACATGAACATTTAACTAACTATGCCAATGGCAACCTTCAAACCAACAGATCGCATTCCATAACCTGCCCTTCTTATTACTTTTTTTGGATTAATCATACATTTTCCCTTTTTGCTCATTTTACAAGATATTACCATAATCAATTTTCCTGAAGATTTGGATTTTTTACAAGTCTGTCTGGTAGATTCAGAGAAAATAATGTTAAAAGAAACTGTTCAGCATTATATACTATTATTTTAATTTATATATATGATCATTAAACTTCTATTATTCCTTTTCTAATAAAATAAATATTTTTACTATAAGACTCTGAGCAAAAACATAATATACTATGAGTAGTATGACTGACTCATAGTTCTAATATGTTATTATCATGTGGGTAAGTGAACGCAAAATTTATTAGATACCTACATTATTTAAACATGCTCAAGCAACAAGGGAATTTAAATTTTATTATTTTTAATGTTAAGAAATTATTGTAATAACTTCTTTTTAAATGAATGTTAGCCTATTGACTGACAAATTAACAGTTACAGTAATAACTGTTCCCTGTAGGCATAAATTAACAACAGTATGAGTCTATGCTTTCTAATTACAGGCATGGATAGACATGGGTGGCCTTTAACTACTGTTAACAATTTCAGATGAAAATATTCATTATTCTATAGTCAATCACTTATGTTATACTTTAACTATATATTCATAAATACTATATAGAGAATTATAATATAGAATGTGTGTAAATCTATTTCAATATATTTAAATCTGTCCTGTGTTTCATGTGAAAACTTAATATATATGTACATCCATACTCACACACTTTAATGTTCATAATATTAGTAAGATGGATAATATAACATAGTATACAAAATAACATAGTACTAAAAATAGTGAATTGTAAAACATCTATAAATTTGACAAATAATAATAACAAGATATAAGGTGACTGCAAGAAATTGTAAAAAACTGACATTAAGATAAAGTATGTATCATTATTATAACTGATATTATAGTTATCTCAAGTATATGGTATGATATACTAGTGCATAGAATATGGTGTTCTGAAATTGTGAAATTATATATTTTACAATTTCAAAACACCATATGTTATATATACAGACATTAAAATACAGTATAATAGAGAACATTCTTGTTTCTAATATTGGATTAATATGGTGGATTGTAAATATATGGGAATATATCAATAATTCAATTATTTGTCACTAAGGTAGACCAGCAAAGTTGTCTGCATGGGTACCTTAGTCTTCTTTTTTATTTTTAATGGGTCTGAGCCTGGTCTTGCCTTATCTGGTGGGAATGGTGGGAATCTGGTGGATTGCGAGAACTATGATGTAGCATGCTCACCCAGAAGAAATCTTCATCATAGACTCATTTATTTAAGCTACCACAAACAAGCAGTTTGTTTTGTAGACAGCTTTTCGGTTAATGAGGTAGTGAAATTACAAGATAAGAGGCATGTCATCTTAGTCTTTGAGAATGGAACCCATGAGTGGTATCACAGGTGTCACATAATAAAGTAACACACATTAATGTCCATGTATACAGGCAACATTATACCCTTTACTTTACTTTATCAGATGGGCTATCAGCTTGTTTGCCTTTCAAATCACAAAAAAATTGTACTCACCTTTAGTGTCTAGTAAGTCTTTACTCAGTCTCTCATTTGCCATTTTTAATGATGTTATTTGGTCGAGTAAATGGCTCAATAAACGGTTACCAATCTGACATTCTGAGATACTCGTACTGGATTCAGAATCAGACTCCACCTCACCATTTGCTGGCCGTGCTACATCTGGTAAACCTCGTACACATGGATCACTATACCTCCGGGCATTACTGCCATCGTCCTTATCATTAGTATGCATGTCACTGTTGGAATTTGTGTCACCAACTGACGTAACGATCGGCGGCAAGCTCGCGAAATCTTGATTATCAGTAAAATTCTTTGGTTGCAAGTAATTGGTACTATTCAGTGTACTATTAGGGATACTCTGCAATTCTTCAGCTGCAGCATCACTACGCCGATGTATTCTTGGCCTTTGGATTGGAATATTTTTGTTTACACCTTGTCTATACCTGTATTCAGGGTTATAGAAAGGAGGTATCGGCGGATTATAGAACGTGGGCAGTGTAGGAAGCGACATTGGCTCAGCACAACCATAAATATTGTACCTGCAATGCTCGTAACCAGGGGAGAATTGCGAGTTAGTCGGCCAGTTCAAATTTGGATTCACGTATGATTCGTAAGCATCCACTGTTGTGGTCGTCTCCTGAACATGTTGCATAGTCTTGTCTAACCATTTAGACAAATAGGACCCTTTGCTACGTCGAGATTTCTTTCGCTTTCCCGAGGGGCCGTTGCTCGTATCGTTCACTTGCTTTGGTGTAGACGATGCCATTGGTACGCCGATTGTAAAACCAAATATATAATGATACTGCACTCACATAAAATATTATTCCACGTATACAAAAAATATTTATCTTATTACTTTATCTGTATGTTGGTAAACAACAGAATAAACTATCGGAGTCATTTAATAATAATTTATTAATTGGGCCGATGATAAACACAAACTAGACAACCAAGTACTTCGATAAATGACGTTAAACTGACAATTTTAATTGACAGTATTTGAAAGATTATATTCTTACACTATTGACGTTGACGATTCAATCCTTGATGTCAAAATGTCAGTATGATTGTCAGTTACGCTCTATAAATGATATCCATTCTCATTGGTGTAAATTTGAAACAGCCACGGTGGTCTAGTTGTTCAGTACGCTACTTTACTTTCAGTGGTCGTGGGTGTGATTCTTCACACAATACAAACAGATATTCAAGTCTGATTGTGTGTATTGTACTGGGTGTTTTTTATGTATATTATTCATGTATTTACAAAAAAAAATTGTATTGGACAATTCACATTATGGCCATTAGCCCATAATGTGAATTGTCCAGGCTTATTAATTTGAACCAGTAATTTCTAAGATTAGCACGTTCAATCACTCTTCAGATTTACACATTACTATAAATATTTATTTAACAAACGAATACATTGTGAGCTTGCGTAAAAATACATCACGCCCATTTTAACACGCGGAATTCTGTCTTTTTTACAATATACAAACTTTTGTGCAGTTTAATTTTTGTTGTTTTGTTGTATGAAGTATTATTAAAAATGTAGGTATTATTTATTGAGTACAAGTAAAAGGACATCATTATGGTATTCACTATTCCAATCTAAGAACCTACGCAAGCAAGTAGAATCATGGACTATGAATATTATTAAGTATTACTTTCAGATTAATAGAATGACCAACAAATTGATGAACCACTTGATGAAACCTGGCAATCATACATACCTACATGAATAGTACTACCACAGGCAACATAGTATTACATAGTACTACATTTATATAACGTCATGTAACAGCTGTGGCAGGACAAAGGTACTTTGTAATTTCCAACTCTCATCTTTCACTCTAGAATGCAGTTTAACAAGCATACTCCTTAACGCCAGAAATAGAAAAAAAAGTGTAATATATTATGTTTTCCAAGCAGACAAGACTATACAGTCTGCTTTCGCTAAATTAGCTAACAATGATTTTTCTTTATATATTACTTATTTTCGGTATAAAATCAAAGTAGCGCAAGTAGCGCTACTTTGATTTTGTTGTGTATTGCAATATAATTTTTAAAATATACCTTACTGTGCATTTACTACTCTTATGTAGCCCATAATCATAGAATTGAACTAGGAATACCATAAGAAATAGATAATTATTTATATTAATAATAAACACATTTTCTTCACATAATTTTAATATCTAAAATATTCCATAATATAAACATATTCATTATTTTATATACAACAATATCTGCTTGAATTTTAATGTAATAAATTTAATTTATCTGATATATCATAAATAGATATCAGAATATAAGAATCTTATAATTACATAAAATGGATACAATATTCAGGAACTGTATCCATTTTATATTAATATACATGAATATACCCGAATTTATTTGACATTTCCCGATGGCACAAGAATAGACTGAATAATAATACAGTAACATCACAATATGATAGTATGTAGTATATAGAAATAACGAAAATTGGCAGTATGTTTGTTTCCTTACACAGTGTATACTTAAAAGATAGGGCTAGGTACATACAGTAACATTATGTAGATTTGTGTGATATTGTTTCAATAACCGTAATCTAATGTATACAGTACATACCTTCATTAAACTAGGTGATTTAAAACTAAGTGCTCATATAAGCAGCAGAAAAATACATGTAACTATAACAGAAAATAGAACAACGGTTCCCACTATGATAGATTGTAACAATCCCAAATAATTATAAATATTTCTAAATAACTAGAAATTACGTTACGTAAAATAAACTAACGAGATTAAAAGTAAAGAAAAAACCATACATTGCATTGCGTTGATGTCATTTTGCGATTAATAATTAAACTATTGTACTTCAATATTTTGGGTAACAGATATATTCGTATAAGCGCCATCTATGGATGCTTCAAGGTATTACTGGATGGCTGACACTTGCAACCAAAACGACAGGTATCTAGAGCCTTACAAATAGAGAGTACTAATACGAATGTACTTTTATACCATACAATATAATCTATGGTTACAAACACAAAGAGAAGCACAGATAAAAGGTAAAGCAAGCAAAAAGCATGAAAGGACGAAAGTAAAAAATCAGTATTCGAGAGTACAAACAGTATCTGTTACACATTGAGCACTATATAGTAACAGGATTAGTACATCATATCATATATAGGGCCATATATCTTAATCTCATAATATTAGACGCGTTTGTCTATCATCCTCCATCATAAATCTCGTCCAGGTAAATGCGCCAATCGGATTGGGGTTACATAGGACAATGACTAATGTAGAGGTATAAATTCAGATTACAAAAGAACAAGCCGCAGGATGCTGTTGTCTCTTTCTATCTCTACGGTGAGGTAGTGATAGAAAAGAGAGTGTACTCATTAATTTATAATACGAGAGACTAAACGTTTAATTGTTATTGAAAGCGCGTCATCAACTTTTTATTGGAGTGGTCTGAATATGGATCCTACATATTTAATAATGTACTAAACCCTTAGAAGTTCATTATCTCTTTGTCACGAATGTGCTTATACTTACATAAAAGAAATGCTTAACAGGCGATTTCGTTTTTAATATTTGTGCAGCGAATTGAGTGCACTTTTATGTATAATGAAAATATAATAAATATTAAGCCATCACATATTCTACTTTGAATATGTATTTCAGGTGATTCCAGATGGATGGAGTGGAGGCCAAACTATATATTCAATAAGTTGTGCCGTAATAATTGTAAATTAAAGTTATTTTTATAAATATGTGGCAGTTGATGAAACCAATATTAATAACTCGATTAAGTATTGTGTTCTTAACTTTCTACCTCTTATTGTCATACTGAAACATACTGTATATTAAATAGACTGACTGAAGATTGAACCTGCGTGACTCTCTACTCATTTTGTTCCGATTGGTTCCATTGTTTTTCCTATCTTTAATGACTGCTGATTATTTTATTTTGATAACTATCGGCTGTGTAATTTACCCTAATTTTTTTGCCATATACCGTCCATCTGAGCTGACCCTTATGTTTACAATGTTATAGGTAATTTACCTCATGATATTATATATAAAATATTGTAATTATGAAATAGTCAATTACGCTGTAAAGTCAAGTCAATATGTCATTTACGACAGTTGTCAAAGAATAATATCCAGAAATAACATCAACGAACGGTATTTCCTATAGGAAGTTGTCATATTACCAATTTATTTAATAAAATGTCAAAAGTTGACTATTAACTCGACTTTCCTAACATTGTACATTGTTGTTTGACAAGGGTCACAAAATAAAACATTGGAAACAATGGTATGAAGTTACGTTTCCTTATTTCTAACAAATGAGTATATATTTTGTTCGTAAAATATAATATACTTAATTATAAATGATACCCATCGTATATTGAAATATAAATAAGCGAATTGCATTTTATAATGAAGTTTCAGAAACTATACTGTATTAAAATTTTACATATGCCAATTTTCTTCCATAAAGATTATAAATTTTAATTAAATGACAATAAGAAATATAATATTGTATTTCATTAGACAAAAAATAAATTTTCAATAATAAATATAAATAATTCATATATCATTACAATTTTACATTCAATATACCTACCTCCATATTAAACTGCCTTATTATATTTTTTATAAACAACATTAATAGTTCTGCAATACAATTAAAATATCGAGCATAATTAAATAAAAGGTAATTAGTGTTCATTATGAACTCTATTAAAAAAAGTGTATATTGCAATATAACAAAAACTCAGGATTTATTTGACAGCATATTTGGCAGATACAATTAGGTATTAGGAGTACAAAACTATTAAATGTAAAGTAAAGAATAAACACACTATACGAATGTAAAATTGTAAAACAAAAATATTTGACATTTATATTATTACAAGACTATTACTACTCGTATATGCAATGTCATATAGCTTCGCTCAAATATATCCACACCACAAATCATTTTATATAAACATTTTTTATTATATAACTGGAATGGCAAACAAGCTTGCGGTCCACCTGATGGCATATAAAAATCGTCGCCTAGATATACATGAGAAGCACCACGGATATCATCATGTATTGTCTATGATACTCCTCGCTCGTTGCCATTCCGGAGAACTAAGATCTCACGCCTCCGTGCCCTGCCCCTTAATAGAACAACTTACAATGTAAGCTGTTGGGCGACTGGAATAGATGAGTACACAATACAAAGTCTACCTCGGTCAATACAACAAAATAACATTTACCTTAGAACTAGTCTTATCTTAACTAAAATATATTTCTATAATATTGTATAATTCTATGAACGTATTGTATACAAAAACCTGCTAACACCATAATTCATTGTTATATACCATAAATCACGTCATTGCAATATTGTCCGCTGAAATTACATAGTAGCCAATATGAACATATGTATTATAATATATCACAAGTTTTCAGATTTGATATAAAATTAAATGCACTAATGCTAATGCCAATCAACTCTGCAATAAGTCTCTGCATTATATATAATCAAATAGCATATCCCTTATAACTGTCCAATTAATAGATATTAAGAAAATACAGTATTGTGGTGTTTATTTCAGAGTCTTCAGATGTAACTAACTATTGCAATATGGGAATGCAACTCGGAAAAAATCTAGTTTTTTCACGTTGCAAATAAGCAAAACAGATACTGGCTTCAATGTAATAACAGTCGAGAGTGGAATACTCAGCGCGGAATTCCTTTAATAAGTATTTTTTGCATGTAGAATTCCTTTGTTTTATTCCATTCGAGTGATTCCTACTGAATTTATTTTAATTAAACAATTCTCTGAAGAATATTTGTGTACAAATGACAATAAAATTTAAAGTGAACACAAAACGAAAGCAATAATGAAAGTTACTGATTCAATTGGTTGTATAATAAATCGTTTTATTATCAAACCTTCAGTAGAAATCACTCGAATTGCCTTCTAGAAGCATTAGGCTAATTTTACGTCGTCAAATGCGGACAGTAGGTCGTTAGTGCCTTGCAGTAATTCTGAATCAGCCCAAAAGTCAGCTGTAAGAGACCCATTAGAGTCCAGTAACAAATCGCCAGTTGGCATGGGGAAATTTGGACTGGCCTGCATCTTATTTGACAGGTAGGGATCACTACCATGTATCACACCAGCCGGGGATAAAATTCTATTAGGGCTGTACATTTGGTTAAATTTACCCACAGGCGACATGGATTGCGGAGTGGAATAAGGACTTAAAACTCTCTGAGCTGGACTTACTGCCGGGCTGTAGTTAGATGTGTTTGGACTTGACGGTAGTGAGTACATAGGACTACCTATGTTGAGACTTAGAGGGGACATGACGTTGTTACCCATTTTCATTAAGTTTGATATAGGATTTGTGCACGGCATCGGCTTATTTATGACGGTTTGTATATTTATAACGGGTAGTGGTATACAGTTTCTGTCGATGGGCTTCTGTATGGACATCTTCTGGTGGTTGACGCCAGCATGAAAGTCGCGTTGAACATTGTTTTGCGGCGGTGGTTGCTGAGGTATATCCTGGAAATTGATAATAATGAAGTATTAGTGGAATTGGCGGTAAAAGGAGTTAAAACACAACACTTGATACTTTTTACGAGGTATGTTTGACCACAATGTGAGAGGGGTGAGCACCCGCCTTCATCCGCATCACTTTATTATAACCAGAAGTGTTTTAAGTCGGATAGATATGTTAGTGGGTAATGATTGGTAAAAAGATGCACAACATGTAAATAAGATTTGGAGAGAGTATTAGCTTTAGTCTACATAATAGTATGTTTAAAAATATTCACACTACATTTGCATAACTTGTTGCAATGAGAGTATTTTTGCATAATTTAATAGAATCATACACTAAGTCCATCCCAAATGAATGGGATAAGGAAGAAGCAGATGGTGAATATAAAAAAAATAACGCGAAACTTCGTTTATTTCACTTTTCGGTATCGTTTTTACTTTGACTGCTAAATGAAGAAGACTCTACATTCTACCCTATTATGATATTTTTTATGTGTCTGATACTTTAAAATCTACGTAAATAATTGATATATTATAACTTGCAAGTATTATTTCAATAAACATAATTTTGTTCTCATTTGAGATTTACAAAAATGTCGCTAATTGCTTATACTTCACAGATTAGAATCGTTTAGCCAAAGAATTAGATCTCAGCATGCTTACGAGTAGCTCTTGCAAATATTTCATTTGCATGTTTTGTATTTCATTTAAATGTATAGATGCTGTAATTATTGTGAACGGGATATTGTTGTATACTTCAGAATTCGTACCCAATGATAAATACCACGTGACGTTCAATAAAAATATTTCATTATCTAAACAAAAATGGCTCTTGTAAATAATCATTATCTTGTGCAGTGATTATTTTAAAATTAAATTTTATTGTTTGTTATTGTTATAGACTATTCTTAAAGTTTATTACTTCATAATTAAACAGTTGGAATTTTTTTATAACTGATATAAGTACTAAAAATATCGAAGAAGTTCTAAATATTTGTATAAATGATTTAAGTGTAATGTGATTATGCTTTTTTATAACTGCTATAGGTATTTATATCGAGCAATAAAAATGGATTTTAATAGGTTCCTTATTTTTTGAAGTTTCCAATCTTTGAAGAGGTGATGTGACTTGATAAGTGTAATCCGATTATGTCAAGATGAGTATCAAGTATCTGTAATGACATATAACGAAGCAATATAAAAGTACACAAATATATTTGCTCATAAATGCTCCTCTATCAGCTGCCTTTGAATCAATAAAGAACACAAAACGTGGTAAATTTCAGTTTCATTTAAACTAGTTATCAGAGACATTATTTTGAGATTTATTAACCGGGATAAAAAGTGGCGTTTACTGCATCATAATTATTACGTAACATGCGAATCTTCACGATCATTGGTTAAGGTGTGAAAGCGTATCAAAGAAACTCATTTTTTTCGACTTTTCTAATGCTGTTGACCGTAGCTAGCCTTTACAGCATCCCGAATGAATGGGGACGAGTGCAGATAACACCCGAAACTCGTGGAAGGACTTATGCAGCGGTAGAAGGCCAATTTCTGCCTGAAGGATAGGACTTTATTCTGAGGGCACCGCTAGGAGTTCGAACCTAGGCTCATGACTTGGTAATTTCGACCCCCGTTTGTATTGGACGGGGGATCGATTGGAGCGTAAACAACCTCTAGTATTTATAAAACCAATTAGTATTAACTGTACGACATAGCCCGCGTGGATTCAACGAAATAGTACCTATACTGAGTATTTATAAAGAATTTGATGTGTTGCTGTATGAAATTTCATTCAAATTTGTCCAGAATTTGTTTCGTGAAAGACTAATTAACATAAATCTATTATTAATAAGAATCCCATGTAAACAATGACCGCGTTGAAATGAAATAAAAAAAATATAGATATAAAATAATCATTAAATCAAAATGAAAAATTCTATGATAAGTGATAACTAACGCTGCCAGTAACAATAATTAATAATTGATGAGCTATATAGATAATATTCTAGGAAAAATAACAATTTAGTACATTCTACCTGATATTTATTACATATCAAGCTAGAATCTAGACTAATAGCGATAAAATATGTTTCTCAGACTCGACATAACCCCTACACAACATACATGTGTAGACGAAAGTGTTATAATAAAACTTTTACAAGAGACTCATTATTCGCTGTAGTCTTTCCTGTTGAAAGGGTTTATGAATAAAAAATACTATGAAATGTGTGTGTCTTACTTATATACGCGATATGGTATTAGACTTTAGAGCTAATATACCAAATATGATTTAAATAAGCCAGCTCACAACTAGTCTTGTTTAACTGCCGACACATAAAGAGAAGTTTAATATGTTAATCTACATATATATACTTTAATAAGTTTTTTTTAAAATGATCGAGAAGGTATATAAGTAATATAAAGTATGAAAGTTTAAAGTATCTAGTATATATACTATATAGTATATACTAAGGGACTACATTGAACTTTTTAGATTTTCTTAAATTTTATTTAAGTAGATTTACGAATTAATATATTAGATACCCAAATAGTATAAAGAGTCTTTTTGTATTGATACGATCGCATATAGTAATGTACGGTTTGTTAAGTATAAGCAAATAAAGAGTAAATATTATAATAGAAACGTTGGTTATGGTAGATATTTACCATAACTAGCGTTTCTAACAAATAACTATAACAACGTTTCCAAAAAATAACTATAACAAATATATATTTGTTATAGTTATTTTTTAATGCTAAGATTAGCCGTCTAGCACCCCCAGTACTATACTACTTAGCTTAGTACTGAGACATGCTGTGAGATATTCGAATTCGTATGAAATATCATTAGAACTTTTTCTTTAGAACAACTCGATACTAGGTACATGGCAATAATATAAATTAAACATAACTAAGCTATCAAAAACTTAATTTAACAGTCGAGTTTTCTGACGCATAACAAATATTAAATAAAATCGACCACACTGTTTTAAATCCTGTACACATCTATGTAGTTTGTTGAGATTTATAATTGTCTTTAATGGACTTTAATCTTTATTTCCTAAATCATAAGATCTATAACACATTAGACTTTTAATTAAGTCGCCTATGGATACTACTTTATCCTCATATAACCTTTGTAATTGGCAATTCCTAACTTACTGATTACTCGCAAGGGGACCTTAGTGTCCCGGTATTACCAGGACTATTGTACAGTAGTCGTTACCAAACTTGACAACACTGTGCCACGAGTAACAAAAATTTCTAAGCTCCAGTATCATATTTAAGTTGGCTAGGAATATAAACTATTAGATATGCTCGCTCTTGTAACTTAGTTGCGACTTGAGCCACACCAATTTGAATTAAGATTATTATAAAAATATTGATTGAAAAATTTGGATACGGACTACAGTTTCAATGAGGATGTTTATTTCCTATTACGGACTCATAGGCCCGCTTGGTTGGTCGATGTACCAATGTTTGTCTATGTTTCAGTACACGCTTAATATTCGCTTAGGTTTAACCCATTGGGCGCGACCAATGGTTTGGGAAGCATTGATATTTCATAATATATACAGATAAGTAGTTCTATTTTTTTTAATAACCGCCTTATTATTAAAAAAAAGTGATCTAAATTTCAAGTTGTCAGATCTGTCTTATGTCTTACTTTTGCGTTGGCAGACTTTTTGCTAAATTTTCTAGAAACTAGAATAGAATAGAAAATCATTTATTCAAATAAACTTACATTGAAGCACTGTTGAATAGTCATCACATTTTTTTTTAATCTACCGCTCATTCGGAAACCTGTCTCATCACAAGATGAACGAGCAAAAACTCGCGTGCTGCTCTTTTAAATAATTTTATACTTACAAACTACTCAATTTAATATGAAGTCAAAACTAAACAGAATGAGTCGAAAGATTCTAGAAATCACATTAATATTTTCATTTTCAGCATACTGATTGATTTTTCAACATAAGATTGAATGAACAACATCGGACCAAGATTAATACATAGAATACCTTAATTTTTACATTCAAAGCCGCAGTTTACGGCTAGTGAAGTATATTTCATTACTTTTAATTATCAAAAACTGTTGATAATGTTAATAATATAGGAAAGGTTATCCGTCTGATAACTAAAAGCAACCATTTAAAGTTAATATTTTGATAAGTTGTATGATACAGTCCGACGGATCTTATTATTTATAACGAAGTCGCGTTTTCGACATCTATTTTTCAAACAATAGAACATTTCGATATCTAATTATGGTAACAATTATGCGGGCTTATAGTCTTTACGTGTTAATTACAAGCATTTCCTATGATAATAGTTTACGATTAATGTTAAAAAAAATCAATTGATACCAGATTAGTATGTAAATGCGACTACCACGAGAATAAATTATTAAAAACATTGCAAAATTGCACGCGTACGAGTAATTTGTTTTAATCTTTATTTATAAATTCAGTTTCATATTAGAAATCCCTAAATCTAAATTTAATATTATATATTTTTCCTTCGTTTTGGATACCTGTACAAATCTCAGACTTGAAATAGTAGCACAATTCAAATAAATAAGACAAATAATGGAATTATTAGCATTATCTATTATTTTATTAATTTTTAATAATAAAATATATTAAGTATGTAAAGCTAATACTCAGGAAATTAGGATCAGGTAGGAAGGTAGAGAAATAATGCGTGCACCTCTTTACCAGCTCTATATTTGTTCTTTTATGCAAATTGTTGTCCATCTAAATTTTTATTTATGTGAAGAAAATATCTAATTACACATCTTCCACTTACAGCTTAAGTTATAATAAGAATGATAAGATTGTATGTCTATACATTTTACGTTTTTTTAATTCTTAATTATAACGACAACGTTGATGCTTTATTAACATACATTTATAATATTTTTCGTGTTAGAAAATTCCTTTAACTTTTAAAAAATAATACACCATTTGAATGGTACATTCAAATATATGTATTTATATAGTGTTATAAAAAGTTTTGTGCTGCGAACATAAATACACATATATCATAAACTTTGTTCTAAATTGTACTTTGCATCATTTGGCAGTGGAAATATTTATCTAAAACATTTAACAAATCCGCTGTCTCGGAAGTACAAATACTACTATGTTATAAACTCTGAATGAATATAACGACCGTCACAAAAAATACTCTACGATGTCCCGTGAATGAAGCTATCCACCTCGTTATAAAAAATGAAAACTAAACGCGAATTAAATTATACAAATAAATAGCATAAACCCATGAGAATCGGGTACACAATATTTCTAAACATATTGACTCGGTTCGGACTACGAACATAAGACTTGTGTGCGCGGCGTGATGTTCACAACGAGAGCACGGTAACTAAGTAATCTAGGAACAATTCAACGATCACATTACCAATACGATATTTAACTTAACACGACATATAACTTAAACACTAAATTAAACAATTATAGGGACGATTGCTTCAGATGTTATTTTTAAATTTATTATAGTAAACGCCCACATTGTGCAGGCGAAAGAACAGGCTGTAATTCTATGGAATAAATTTACGTTCAAAGAGTCTATGCACAAATTGCCTTTGTAGACTTTATCTAAGCCATTTCATTTATATAAAAAGTAAGTAGCTTATTGGAGTTCCTTGACATCATCACAGTATTCCGATACAATTGCGTAAACGGTAATATCACAAGTTTCGACGGCACTGTATTCAATTTAATTCGTATCAAATCTAACCAGATTTATGGTTTGTGTTTGAAAAAATGTGGAAAAATATATATCGATTGAACACTGGACGTCCGTTATCACAGTTTTGTCTTTATGAGAAATTGGCGCCTCAGGCTTTAGCTTTTTGTCGTGGTCGACATTGCACCACGCAGATGTAACCAGCGTCGACATCGCAGCCGCTCACCAGAAGGTTCATGAGGACACTGGAGGACTGTTTACTCGTCGAGGAAACTGATTCTGGCGGCGAGGAACTGCGCTTGGCACGTTTTGCTTTCGGCACCTCTTCTTGTTTCATTACTCTCTTAATCCCTGTGTCCCATGGCGCAATACTTCTACTTGGAATTATACCTAAAAAAACAATTTCGTAATGGGCATTAAGAAGTCGAAAAAGTTTAGAAACAATACGTACGTACGTACAATTGTATGTAAATTTCTGTTAATTGTACCTTGGTCTGAGTAAATATTTGATATGAGATCCTGTGGTGGTGGGCCTGTGTTCGGTGACGCGAGTAAACGCTGTAAGGCTGGCGCTGGCGAGTTTGTATATGTTTCAGGTGGCTGTGGTCTCGCCAAACTCACATTGTCAGGCAATGCACCCCACATAACTGCTGGTTCCAGCACAGGGAGCTCATCGCTCATTGGAATAAAAGGCGAATTTTCATCATTGATATCGTTATCAGACCTTGTGCTATCGAAAGCATCTAGAGATAACTCTGTTAGTAACGATGACTGTTCGCATGATGATTCAGTCTCCTGAAAGATGAAAGAACTTATTATTTTGTATACACAGTTAATATCTATTATAATGTATTTCGATATATTATAATTTCAAATTTACATCATTTATCTTATACGAACCTGTGATTCAGGTGAAGACAATACCAAGGAATCAGTAGTTAGAGAATCCGGAGATGCATTAGCCAGATCTTCACCCAACAAACTGCAGTAATTGTCATTAAGTATAAATTCATCAAATAAGAAGGAGCTGTTTTCAAGAGGGATACAAGTGTCACCGGCCGTTGGTGCCAAATGAGTCAGATCTTCCGGCTCGTCTTTAAGCACTGAAAACAAAGTTATTTTAATAGAAACCAAATCATTCAAAAAAATAAAAAATCATCTAAATCTTTAAATTTTCATAAGTTAAGCAAAATACTCAATTTATAAAAAATCTGTTAGTGTCCCACTCACTTGTAAGACCCTCGTCTGACGAAAACATGAGAAAGCCTTTATTCATTTCTTTCTTTCTCGGCGCAAATATAAGCTCTGTAACCGGTATAGGGCGTTCTTCTTCTGGAAGTGGAGTGGGTACTAGTGTACCGTTCGCAACTTCAATGGGTGGGCAGACTGCAGTGGTCGAATTTGCTGTGGTCTGTACGACAACAGGTTTCAGGTCCGCGTGCTGCACTTGGTGTGCAGCAAACACCTCATCTTTGCACTCGATACCGCTGTGAACATAAAGTAATGGGTAACTTACGCTGCCATTAGGCAACTTGTGGTAATCGCGGTACAGTGGTAACTCTGGTTACAACGCCTCGAGGTACATGGTGCGGATTTTTGCGATTGAAAATTCTCCATAACTCACTCGTACCATCGGCGGGTGGAAGTCCTTTTTCAAGATTTTCCACAAATTAAAAAAAGGCAACTTATGATCTACCGGCTGTTATCACACATACATGACTCATTATACCGACTTCTAGTGACAATTGAACGGTTATTAGTGTACAGAGAAATGAACACTTGTTGTGTTAATTGGAATATGTTGGCTTGCGAAGATGGAGGTGTGAATGCAGTATATTATTACACGTACGTTTCTAATGTGTTGCTCAATAAGGTACAGATATAATAGAATCTAATCAGTCAACATGACTCAAGGTCTTTACAGATGAGCTCTAACTTGTTCGTGATGATTTTTTTTATTCTAGACTTTGCGTGTGATATTTGGCTAAGTCTCGTTTAATAAGTAGTTAAAAACACGAACAACAAAAAATAAGGTAAAGTCTTTGAAGATTTTGAGGATATATTATTATGGGTTAGTAATTGAAAGATTACATAGAATATATAAGTTCGATGCTGAGTTCATAACAGGCCCGGCTATATTGCTATTAATTTTATATCAGAGATCGTTAGGGTACAAAACAGGTAGGTAGTATGGATTATAGAAATAGATAGCCTATTTTATACCAACAAGGCAAAGAGTGCTGTGTCTTAAACATTACTGAATTTTAACTCTATACCGAAAAAGGTGTTACATTGCTGTTTGACGATCGTAATTATACGTTAGACCTTGCCTATACGTTAACTTGTAAGAATATAGCAATTTCAAGTTTTTTCCTTCTAATAAATCGTTCTTTGCGTATAATAAAAACTATTTCACAGCAAGTCGTCCACATACACTGAGTGATTAATAATTATATTAACACGAGGTTATATTGAACTGATAAATATTAAACTAAACATCTTCGAGTTAAAACACATATATAAAAAGTGAAGATATTTTATGTAGGTAATTTACAGGCATTAAAACGCACCATATTAAGAAGTTCTAACAGTTAACTCGGTTAGTATCTGAACATTGATTTTTTACACTACAACATGGATACAATTTTCCAAATTATTACACAATTGTAATTTAAGTTTAGGTACTGTGTTATTTTTACATCCATTATAATTAATTATGAACATATATAAGATGTATACATATTAACAAACACAGACAAATATAATAAAACGTTCTACATACCACTACTATTACAAAAGTTGGTAAAGTTGATAACAAAAGTTATCGAGTTCAAGATAATTTTATTGTTTGGAGGAAAACAATATAAGAGCCGTAGTTGTAGATAGCACAGAATGAACATTTAATAACAACACATGTTTTATCAATATAACATGTACGCGATACACAGAAAATGAACACTGAAATATCAGATATATTTACAAGAGGAATAATAACTACGCGAGTGCCCGCTCTGAGAGATAAATTGGACTTGAGGCTCAGCTGGTAGCAAGCATGACAATTAACCAAAGCAAAATACTCTTCTGGTAAATATTTGTAGAGAATTATTAAATGATCAGGATAAATTAGATAACCCAGGAATAAGGTTCGTGGGGAATACTTGCGTCAGCTGATGATAAACTTGTTTACTGTGGTGACCATCCAATTCAATAAATAAAATTTTGAAAGCGCGAGAAGAATTGATTTCCATGTTTGTACTATGGTATATACCAAATGTAAAGTTAATTTATAAATAAACTACGTCCAATAATGTAAACAATTATCAACTTTATAGGTTTAGTACAAATAAATAGTATATACAGGTTTTTAAAGTTATAAGTACTATCTAAATACTATAAAAGTGGGTATATTTAATTCTAACTTTAAATTTACGCGCGCTTTTGAAAGTGAATTCGTTGAAAGAGATGACTAAATGTATACTGCTCTCGATAGAAAGAGATACAGGAAGATAGTAAGAACGGCCTTGTTAGCGACCTTGTACCAATTCACCCTCATATATCCACTAAGCTGTCTCTAGTCGGGCCCATTCACCAGAAACGTAGTAAAATAAATTGCGCGCGCAGTCAAAACACGAGGCGGGTTCCGTATCGATTGAGGGGTAAAAATTCTGTTCGTCTATACCCTCAAAGAAAACACGCTGTAATAGAAACTTATGCGACTGCACGTGTACTGACAGTTGGGATTAGACAAACAAACTTTAACTACAAATATGTATACATTAACTAATATTAACGAAACTAGAGAACTAAGACAAAAAAAGGATTTCACTCATTATCTTTATTAAAGAAAATTAGTTCAATATGGCAAGAGCAGAGAAGTAGTTAAAAAAACATTCACTTTCATTAAAATGGATAGTTTGTAATAAAAACATCTGGATGGAAAGAAACAGAACAGCTGTTCGGCAGTGACCTTGGCCGTGATACCGTTCAGCGCCACGCAATTCAACAATTACATCTGCCACGGCCGAGGACGACTTGACGTCATCTCGCATATAACTCGTTACAAATCGAATTATGGTAATGGGCAAGATTAATTTATAGACGTAGATGGATTAGAAAACTTTCCAAAAGCAATAAAAATTTTGTGGAAATATAAAATAAATTTATACCGAAAGCCGAGGAAGATTATCCGGAATAATAAAACTTGTTGACTTGTGGATACGAAAATAGATAACTATGTTTTGAACTAATACAAGTAATATCGTAAATAAACAGATAATGATACAATATTACATGAGTGTAAAGTAATCAGAATATAATCATCTATTAGGTTACCTAGAGGAAGAGTTATCGCCAAACAAATATTTGGTGAGTTTGAAGGCCACAGTAAACTGTTAACTTATTTACTATATACATATGTGAAATTTCAGATAGATTTGAGTAGAATATGGAAATTTTAATTTAATTTTTTTTAAGCAAATCGTTTCAATAACATGTTATTAAAAATTTCTAATATTCACCGTTGTAAATATTTACTCTTAGAAACTTGGGAAAACAAGCATGTAAACAACTTCTAAGTGTTAATAGTACAATAAATAATATATATATATATATATCTTTAACATTGGTCAAATTAAACTGAACCGATGCGTTGCCAATGGTTTGTGTAGCGAGATGCTGCGCAGGAGTCAAGGCCGGCGTGGTGCGGTTATGTAATTGTATGTTGAGGACAGTGGGGGGCGGAGTTTAAATTTAGCTATGGTCTAGCAAACACTCGAACACACGTAGCGCGAGAGCATCTATATAGCTTTGCAGATGCATTGTAATATGGAAAATGTAGACACAAAATATCTAAAAGTTATAAAAACATTGTGTATTTGCTAATAAATTTAACTTTAATATTAACAGGTGAAATTTAGTTCCTGTATGAACCTTTACTTTATTCAACAGATTTAAAACGATTACTCAATTAAATAGCTTCATTTTCCCTATGTAATACTTTATTAGCTTACATTTTATTATTTTGTATTCACATGAACGATGGAGACCGATAGGCTGGCTAACTTTTGATCACGATTGAATCGAAATCAAATCGAAAATATGTCAACACGATATTCATGAGTATTCAATACGATATACAGAAAACTGTAAACTTGTAACCGTTGCATCGAACTTACTATTAACAAATTCAAATGGAAGATAGACTTTCAAATTAAATCAAAATTGAATTTCAAACGAAACGCTTCTCAGTTACGGACACGGATTTTTAAACCGAAGGTCACAAATCATTGTTTGTTTATGACGATATCATTATGGCAGATTCCGTACTATCAACACGATCCCGAGATTCAATACATGCAATTGATCACTTTTAAGTCGGCACAGATTTATTCACTTAACACAATCACTGATTCACTGTCCCTTACCATGATGCGAGACAGAGGTAATGTTGTCAAACAAATTAGAAATTCGCCGGTTTGTGTTGTTGAGTGGAAACAGCTGATCGCGAGTACGATGCGGGGGCGTTGAGTGGGTAACGTACTAGGTGTTCGCTTGGTGTGATAGTCGACGCGCGAATGATACAAACCGCCTCGCAGGCGGCCAACAGCGGCGGCGCACTCGTGGTCGTGACGCAGACCACAGACATGAGATACGCTTGAATTACATTCGATGAAAATTTTTTTGAGAACTGCCTTACATTCAGGAGCCACGCGACAGATAAGCAAGTTCACGATTCACCAATAGTTAATCGCATTCAGATCATGAACAAGCTAGCGGTGTACCTAATAATTCACGCAATATGAACGTGTAGTCTAAGTAGCATTTGAAGACTTGTTATGAATGATTAAATGATAAAGATAAGTCCATATATTACTAAGTGGCGACAAAATCAATAATAAATAACTTTAAAACTCGTATACCCTACGTTCCAACGAAAAAATAAAGCTCATCGAATTGCAGTAAGGTAAAATATTTGAATTATTTTTATATATATTTATGGATCAACTTTTTCAGTTCAGATTCTGTAATATTTCGCTAAGTTATGCAGAATGTTACGTAGCCAAAATGAAACGGTGAACAGGATTGAAGTTTATTTTGGTAACAGTGTAACTGAGCAGGTCAACAAACTGTTTGGAGACAGAACATTGTTCTATACATAACAACCATTGAGCATCTATATAAAAATAATGTTTCACTGTATATGTATCGACATTTTCTGAATAATTCATTCATAGAACATAAATTTATAATAAAATAAATATATAAACGAGATAGCTAATTTGATGTATAATATGGACACATCTATGCATAAAAGGTAAGTATTAATTAAATCGATAATTGAAATGGACTTTACATTGGTTTGATTTACCTTATTACCAATGTATAAATTGTAAAAATAATGCATGTCTGAAGTAATATAACAATGGGCTACATACATATGTACATACATGCAAACAAAACTAGTCATTTAGGGAATAGACTCAAGGAT